CATTCCCCTAGTATTGTTACCATTCACACTCAAATCCCTAGCTATAAGAAACCTTTCAGGTTTTGCAGCTTCTGGGCTGACCATCCTGAGAGACTTAACACTGGTGACAGGCTTCAGCTATTTGGCATCTCTCCTACACCAATTTGCCCCTTTTGCCAACATATTACTGAAACTCATTCTCACCTCTTTTTTGATTGTGTCTTCTCTGCTAAAATCTGGACTGAAATCAAAGCTAAATGTAATGTGCAGTGGCCTGACCTTCAGTGGCCTGGCATTATTCCCTTTGCTACTAGAGAGACTAAGAGAAGGTCATTAAGATCCATTATCATCAAACTGTCATTGTTGTGTTCTGTTTATATTATCTGGCTTGAAAGGAATAACAGAATTTTCAATAAAGAATTCAAGCCAGAAGAAGTGGTTGTTAAAATGATTGTCCAACTGATTAGGGGTAGATTGTTGTCTATCACAAATGTTCCTAGAAATGCAGGTGACAACTGGTACATTGACCATTGGAATTTGCCTGCTACTGTTTTGAAGCCCCATGCTCTCGGAAATGGGAGGGCTGTTGAGTGATGTGAGTTTACTATATGAGGGTCGAGTGAATGTAAGCAAACTGAGTGATTTTTCCTAACTGTTTTCTTCTTGTGTAGTAATGAGAAGTGCTTGGAATTCAATGAGGGTTGAGTGTTGTGAGTCCAAATAATGACAACTGACAGAATTGTGGGTTGAGTGATATAGCTACTCACAAATGTTTTATCTAATGTTTATATATATTGTAAGCTTTATGTGCAGGTTATGGTGTGTAATGGTGTGCTGCAATGCTGTGTGGGTTGAGTGATGAGAGCCTATATATTGTGTGCTACATTCCAAATGCTACAGAGTGATGTCAGATTATTGTGGGTTTAGTGATGTGAGATATATATGGTGGTACTAGTATTAATGGAATCCGTCCATGATTACTAATGGATTTTTTCACTCCATGTTGGCAGGTCTTTCTATATTGTCTAGTGGAGGTCTATTTCTTGGTTTGGTTCTTGGGATATTTGGCTCGAAGCTGGCTGCTGAATGCGCCGCTGGATGTTTTCTTCAGGGATATAAGCTGTTTTCCTTATTTGTTTTTTAACGATTTTAGTTACTTTACCTATCCTAGCGGGATGTGCTAGGAATTAAGTGGTCCATGTTGACTTGTTTTGTCTCTACTTTTGCTTTACTGTTTGGTGCTGGCTTTGTGTCTTGCTGCTAGATATGTAATGCACAGGTTCTGTTTTGTTCCCCATTCCTGTTTTCGGATTTGGGGCAGATGCTTTGTGCTGCTTTGGGGCTGTTAGCTCTCGGTTTTTGGGCTGTTCTTTCGCAGTGTTCATTTTCCCTATCCCTCTTGATATGGTTGCTGAACAGTGTGCTTTTTGGTTCTCTTTTTGCTTTATCTCCTTGGTTTCTTGGTTGCTGTTGCTGTATAGTTGCTGTAGGGCCTGGGGTATTCCCCTTGTAATCTTGTGTATCCTTTGTCTTTAATTTATGTCTTATTCACCCAAAAAAAAATCCTGAGTTCAAGAACATTGTGAGTGGGGTTTGGTGCAAATATTTTTTTTGGGTAAGTAAGTCATAAAATAAAGACAATGAAATATACAAGTTTACAAGGGGCATACCCCAGGTACACCCAACAACAAATGAATAAAAATTACATAACCAACATAAACTACTAAAGTACCCCCATAAAGATGGGGGGAAAGCACAAGAACAACAGAAAACCAAAAAAACCCAACTTTGCTCATATATCTTTTTGTCCCCCAGTAACCCCTACCATCAGAGATAATAGATGGAAACTAGGGGTGGATATATGGGCAAAGGTACAAACAATACCACAAAGCTATTAAACATAACAAAACAAACACACAAGGCTGCAACCCAAAAGCCCGATCCAAACGGATAGTCACCCCCACAAGCCGCCAGTCTCTACCGAAGATGAGAACATGGAGTCTAGTAAGCCTTCCACTCCTCACAGCCGTGACATCCTAGCCACTTAACCAAAGCAATGACAGAGGAAAAAATCTACCCCACGACACATCCCAACAGAGTCACACGAAGCTAGCACGAGTAGTAGCCATAATCAACGGTCTTAGGAGTTGTAGCGCAAAAACAATAGCCCCACAGCAACAGCCCAATACATAGTCAAAAATCGCATAAGATCAAACATTACATCCCCCAGTCCCTTCCTTGGTAGATCGCAAGCCTCAAACCCCACGGCAGTGTGCCCTTCACTCCATGTCAGGCGTGGCAATACAATCAATTAGGATGGGTCACATGAAGACAAGAAGCGACCAGAAACCCGGTAGCTATCCTCCCGTTCATCTCCCAGTCTCTAACTCGGCTAGTTATTGAACCACTATTCCCCATAGCAGTGACTCCCAATCACTCTTGGCGGAGATGGCTCAAAACCACCCTCATATCGAGTCACATGAGGATCACACGATCAATCATCATGAAATAACAGACTACACAAGGTCCGCTGCATTATGGCTAAACAAAAATATGGACTGAAAAAGTGCGCCTAAAATTGCGGCAACCAACAACACAAAATCACTCATAACCAAAATAGTAAACCCGTGGGTCAAATAAGGGGCCCACCGCCCACTAATAACAGCTGGGCCCAAAACAAGCTGACTCCATATCCAAAAAGTGGGCCAAACCGTAAATCTTTGAACCAAAATAATGGCCCATCAAACTCCATAGACAACACATATAGCTCCATTATAAAATAATCTGAAAATAATACAAACCATTACCTGGTATTCCAAAACCATGGGTGAAACAACCCACATGATGCACTTCCCAAAAATGGCAACGTCAAGCACGTGGGCCACCATGAGTTTTCTGAAAGGTTTTCAATACAACTATGAAATCACAAGTGGCCCCACCTACCACATCATCAAATCTGAAACTGGGCAGCAAAAAGTGCAAATCAACCAAAATGAGGAAGGAGCCCCTAGTCTGTTACCTCCACTCTGAACACAATAGCTTGATGATGATAATCAAGTAGAACACACACAATCGCTAATCGTGAAACACACGCATCACCAACCTCACGTACTACACGCGCGAGAACGTGAAGTATACCCAATGCCACCACTACCGCAGCAACGGCTCTGGTAACCAGGCAAAGCACGCTGGCATAGATACACAAACTATATCACCGGTGCAACACCAACCCAGTGATGCAGCCAGAACCCACACCAGAAATGGACGGTGTAATCCGAGAGTAGAACCTAGCAGAATACCACCTGTCAGCTCCAAAACCTGAATAGCCACAGCCGAAATACCCGCCAGCGAAGAATAAACCACTGGAGACCTAGAAAGCTACCAGTGAAGCAACACCGACAAGCTAGCCACCCCGTGAAATTCATGAAAGATCACGAGACTAACTTCATCTTACCTAGCGATCTTGATAACCCCGGAGGACCATGAGACCCACAGCCGGAGCACCACCAAATGGGCTACTCTCACAATGTCAACTTTCTCTCTCTAGGACTAGAGAAAGAGAGACTCTGTAAAAATAACCGGACTGAGCAGAGCTAACCCAAACCCACTAGCACCACAATGGAAGGAATACTGCCCCACCATGAACGCCGAGACCAAAACCTCCACGGAGAACAACCAAAACCCATCTACAGCGAAGAAACATCACCGTAGAATAACACCCACGAGTTCAACTACCTCCGACCTCTTGCCATTGAAAATCATTACCGATCCAACAACCCACTAACAAATGAGCTACCAGATGAGATATCCTCAATGCAGTAGTCAAAAGTCAAAACAATGTGTGCAAACACTAAGCTCACACAGAAAACATGCTCACCCCAACTCAGATTATTGAGAGGAGGAGCTAAACAAACTGGCCGGGAATGCACCAGAACACACCACCATGGATAACCCCCGGGGGGAGCTTTCTCTCTCTAGAGAGAGAGGCTCTGCTTTCTTCCCCTTAACCCATCATTCTCTATTGGTGCAAATATGTTTAAGGGGTCTTCTTTGTTTAGAATTTGTTGTAAGCTTAGGTCTTTGAAGCCCCTCCTTAAGACTTTGAACAAAAAAGATTTTAGTGATATTTCATCCAGGGTCCTCTATGCTAGAGATGAGCTTGAGATTGCTCAAATCAAATTGAATAAGGACCCTTTAAGCTTGCAAAAACAGTCTTCTGAGCGGAATCTTTTTAAAAAGTATAGTGATCTTTGTAAAGTGGAGGAAAGTTTTGCCAAACAGAAGTCTAGAGTCCAGTGGCTTAGTCTTGGAGATAGGAATAGTAGTTTTTTCTTCAGGTCTGTCCGTAATAACATCAATAGGAATAGAATTAGTAGTGTCGTAAATGAGGTTGGGTGTCGCTTGACTAAATCTCAGGATGTTCAAGATGTATTTGTGGAAGCTTTTACAAACCTTTTTGGTGCCCCTTTTACAGATACCTATTCTGGTGGGGACAGGGTCAACCATCTGATCCACAGGAAGTTGTCTACTGATTAGTACCATAATCTGTGTCTTGCTATCACTGATGAGGAAATTAAAGATGTTCTCTAGTCGCTCAATGCTAATAAGGCCCCGGGTCCTGAGGGGTTCTCTGCTAGTTTCTATTTTTTTTGGGTGAATAATTCTCTGCTAGTTTCTTCCAAAAGTCTTAGGACATTGTTAGGAGGGAGGTTACTACTGTTGTTAAGTCCTTTTTTGAATCAAGGGAGCTCCTCAAAGAGATAAACAGTACTAGTATTGCTATTGTCCCAAAAGTTCCAAATCCTAGTAAAGTCGGCGATTATAGACCTATATCCTGTTGCAATACCATATACAAATGTATTGCCAAAATTATTACAAATAGGATAAAGGCTGTTTTACCCGATTTAATTGATCCTGTGCAATCTGCTTTCGTCCAAGGGAGGAGAATTGCCAATAACATTTTTCTCTCCCAAGAGCTGATGAGTGGTTACCATAGGAATTCCAATTCCCCTAGGTGAACCATGAAAGTTGACCTTATGAAAGCTTATGATAATGTGAGATGGGATTTCCTTTTTGACATTTTGAATGCTATGAATTTCCCGGTAAAATTCATAGGTTGGATTAAAACTTGTGTGACTTCTGCCTCCTTCTCTATTAGTATAAATGGGAGTCTTTTTGGTTATTTTAAGGCTGAAAGGGGTTTAAGACAAGGTGATCCCATGTCCCCGTATCTTTTTGTGCTTGTCATGAGTCCTAGCTAGGATCATGGCTGAAAAGGCTTCTGATCCTTAATTCAAATTTCACTGGAGATGTAGTAAAACGAAGACTGTCAATCTCTGTTTTGCGGAATGATTTAATGATCTTTTGCAAAGGTGACATCAAATTTGTCCACCTTATCAAGGATGGCCTTAATGAATTCCATAAACTGTCCGGTCTTTCTCTTAATCCTTTGAAAAGTCATGTGTTCTTCTCGGGTTGCGAGAAAAAGCTTCGTGAGGAGATCTTGGGTGTCACTACATTTAAGGAGGGGCATCTTCCTGTGAGATACTTGGGAGTTCCTCTTATTCCTACTAGGCTTAAATCTAGTGACTGTCAAGGCTTGGTGTCTAGAATATCTGCTCGAATTAAGTCTTGGACTAATAAGGTGTTGACTTATGCTGGAAGAGCCCAGCTGATTAGTACCATCTTATTCTCTATGCAAGTTTATTGGTCGTCCTTATTTATCCTCCCTAAGAAGGTTATTAAGGAGGTTGAGAGCTTGTGCAGGTCTTTTCTGTGGACTGGTATTGAGCTTAAGAGCACTAGTGCTAAAGTGTCTTGGGATAGAGTTTGTTCCCCTAAGAATGAAGGGGGGTTAGGTTTTAACTCTATGGAGGTTTGGAATAGGGCTACTATTGCTAAGCATGTGTGGTTGCTGGGGGTGATCAGTCTATGTGGTGTCAGTGGGTGAAGTCCTACTTGTTAAAAGGGAATAGTTTATGGTCTGTTAAAACCCCCAGTGACCCCTCTTGGGTCTGGAGGAAGTTGCTCAATTTGAGGGTTGCCCTTTTTCCTCTCTTCAAATCTATTATTGGATCTGGTACCAATACTTTTCTCTGGTATGACAATTGGCACCCTTTGGGTTCTCTCTGGGCTAAATTTGAGGAGAGGATTATCTATGATACGGCCTTGCCCGTCAAGCTAAAATGAGTTCCATTGTTGACTCTTCTGGTTGGCATTGGCCTGTGGCTTCCTCTTAGGAGATTAGGGATTTAATTAGTAATACTCTAGCTAATTTTAATCCCTCTTACTTGTCCCCTAATAGACTGCTTTGGCTTCCTCAGAATGATGGTAATTTTACCATTGGGTCTGCCTGGGACCATTGGAGGCAAAATTGGCCTAAGGTTGATTGGGCTGGGCTCATTTGGGGGCCTCATACCATCCCAAAAGCTAGTTTTGTTGTTTGGATGGCCATCCTTGGCCGTCTAAACACTGGTGATAGATTGGTTCTATTTGGTCTTACTCATTCTCCTATTTGCCCTATGTACGGTCAAGTTGGGGAGGATCATGATCATCTATTTTTTCAATGCCCTTTCTCATCTGTTGTATGGCAAGCTATAAAACATAAATGTAACTTGACTTGTGGTGGTACTGATTGGAACTGTCACTGAGGTGGCAAGGAAATGTAAAGGAAAATCTTTGGCTTCCATTATTAGAAAACTGAGCTTCTGTTGCACTGTGTACTATTTGTGGTTGGAAAGAAACAATAGAGTCTTCAACAAAGAAAATAAACCTGAAGAGATTGTCATTCAACAAATCATCCAGATGGTGAGATGTAGATCTATGGCCCTCTCAAACATTAAGAAGTCCAGTAATGATGATTGGTTCCTCCATAAGTGAAACATTCCTAGTACCAATTGAGGATTGTGTGTGCTGTGTGCTGAGTGATTGTGAGCCTAAACAGAGTGTATTATTATATGAGAGTTACCATTTGTGGGTTGAGTGATGAGAGTTCTAAAAACCATCTACTTTTCTAACATTGTGTACTGTTTTGCAGATCCGACAAAGGAAGAGAGATGTGAGTTCAGTAAAATATGGGTTGAGTGGAGTGAGCTTCCTACATTGTGGGGTTTACTAATATATTTCTGCATATGTTTGCTATTATTTGTTACAGGCACAAGAAATTCAAGCATCGAGTGGTGTGAGTTCAAAAGTTGTGGGCCAAGTGGTGTGAGAGTATATAATGAGTGTTGCGCTTTGTTATGGATGTTATATATTTGTGGGTTGAGTGATTCAGTTTATATATAAAATTAGAGGGTCTTAGATATATTTTTCAGATTGTGGTTGTTGTTTATAGTCTATTTCACTGTTTTTTTGGGGGGGGTGAATATAGCCTATTTCACTGTTGTGATTGGTCTATTTCAGGTCATTCTACAATGTATGAGGATCAAGATAAGTTTGAAGGCATCGTTGACCGTGCTGCATATCTGCGCCAGTCTCAATGCCTTGCATCTTCAAAGGATGCATTTGTGTTTTCTATTTTACTTTCTAGTTTCAAAATATTGTATATGGAGTTTACATGGGTTTCTTCCTGTTTTGTTTTGGATTCCTTTCCTACCCTAGCGGGATGTGCTTGGGTCTATTAGGCACTATCTGCTTTTTGGATCTGGTTGGGTTCTTATGGTTTTGCCGGTGTACTTGCTCATATACAGGTCTTGTGTACAATGATAGAATGGATGTCTTGGATGATTTTGGTTATCTCTTTGTTGTCTCTTCATGGCTGCACCGTTTAGAGTGCTTCTCTTAGTGGGTAGGATAGGTATGGTCCTTACTAAAACTCAACCCTCAATGGAAAATAGCAACACTCAAACCAGCTTGTAGCAAACTGCAAGATTAACAAACAATTAGATAACACACAATATATACTCCCCTTCACTCAACCCACATTTGCTAGACTCACAACACTCAAAGTTCTTCTGCTTCCATCACAACACTCAAAGTTCTTCCTCAAAGCTGTAAATGAAAATCATGTTTTCTCATCTGTTGTGAGCAACTGGTCTTTTTTGACAAACTCTCAACCAAATAAAACTGGTAGGATTTGTGTGTTATGGGACCCTGCTTTTTGTGATGTTACTTTGATCACTTTGTCTGATCAGCATATTTTTTGTGAAATTAATGATTTATCTCAGGCCAAGGTTTTCAAAACTTGTTTTGTCTATGCTGAGAACAGTAATATTTTGAGGAAAGAATTTTTTGACTATATGTTGAGTTCATCCATTTTAAATTCTGCCACTCCCTTAACTTTTCTTGGGGATTTTAATGCTATCAAATACAGTTATGAAAAATTTGGGGGGTCTATAGAGTGGAATAGTGAGAAAGAGGTTTTTAATTCCTATATTCTTTCTGCTGAGCTTGTTGATCTATCTTATGGTGGGTGTCAATTCACTTGGGCTAATAAGAGGACTAGGGGTGATTATATAGCCAAGATTGATAGGGTTCTGGTCAATGAGTCATGGATTGACCAATTCCCTGCCTCTAATGCTATGTTTCTCCCCTCTAGTATTTCTGATCATTCCCCTGTGGTTGTTTCTGTTTCTGCTAAGGCCCCCTCCTTCAAAAAACCTTTTAAATATTTTGATTTCTGGGCTAAGCACGAAGAGTTCTTTCCTAGTGTCTCTAAGGACTGGAATCAGTATGTTGTGGGTGTCCCGATGTTCAGAGTTTGCCAAAAACTCCGGAGTCTGAAACCTATCCTAAAAGCATTAAACAAGAAGGATTTTAGTGATATTTCTACTCGTGTCTTGGCTTCCAAAGCTGAGCTGGATTCCATTCAATGGAAATTAGACAAAGATCCTAGTAATAGCACTTTTCAGATCCTTGAAAGGAGTCTTCTTAAAAAGTATGTGGATCTTAGGGCTGTCGAGGAGAGTTTGGCCCACCAAAAGTCTAGAGTCCAATGGCTTGGCCTGGGAGATAAGAATAGTAGATTCTTCTTCAGATCTGTGAAGAGTAACATTAATAGAGGGAAAATTCTTAATGTTGAGATGAAGGGTGGTAGGGTTTCGTCTAAACCTGAGGAAGTTCATGATGCTTTTATTGATTATTTCTCTAAGCTTCTAGGCACTCCTTCTTAGGACCAGTATAGTAGCTCTAGTAGAATTCAAGATCTGGTACATGCTAGAGTCACTTCTGATCAAGCTATTAAGATGGCTAGCCCTGTCTCTGACAAGGAAATTAATGATGTTTTTTGGTCCTTAAAAGCTAATAAGGCCCCTGGTCCTGACGGTTTTTCTGCCGGTTTCTTTAAGAGCACTTGGCATATTGTTGGTAAAGATATTATCCAGGCCATAAGAACCTTCTTTGAATCTGGGAAACTCCTTTCCAAAATCAACAATACTACCATTGCTCTCATTCCTAAAATTCCTAACCCGGTGAAAGTTGGGGACTATAGACCTATTTCCTGTTGCAATACTATCTATAAATGCATAGCCAATATCATTGCTAACAGAGTTAAAGTGGTCCTTCCTGATCTAATTGATCCTGTCTAATCTGCGTTTGTGCAGGGGAGGAGAATCTCAGATAACATCTTCTTATCTCAAGAGATTATGAGAGGTTACCATAAGAACTCTCCTGTTCCTAAGTGTGCTATGAAAGTTGATATTATGAAAGCCTATGATACGGTTAGATGGGAATTCATCATTGATGTTCTTACGGCCATGGGCTTTCCCCAAATTATGATCTCTTGGATCAAAGCTTGCATGACTGGCCCCTCCTTTTCCATCTGTATTAATAGTAGCCTTCATGGCTACTTTAAAGGGGCTAGAGGCCTAAGGCAAGGAGATCCCATGTCTCCCTATCTGTTCGTTTTGGCCATGGAAGTTCTTGCTAGGATCTTGGATGAAAAATCAAAGCTTCCTCTCTTCAAGTTTCATTGGAGATGTGAAAAAACCAGAATAGTGAACCTTTTCTTCGCTGATGATCTTATGATCTTCAGTAAAGGGGATGTTAACACTGTTCAGATGATAATGGATGGATTGGAGAAGTTCAGTTCCCTTTCTGGCCTCAATCCCAATCCTAGCAAGAGCAACATTTTTTTCTCTGGCTGTAATTAGGAGCTGAGGGCTAGTATTCTTAGTGTTGCCTCTTTTATTGAGGGAACTTTACCTGTCAAATACCTTGGAGTGCCCCTCATCACCACTAAATTGAGAGCGTCTGATTGTAAACAACTTGTTGACAGGATCACTAAAAGGATTAATAGTTGGACCAATAAACTTCTCTCTTATGCTGGTAGGGCCCAACTCATCCAGACTATCTTGTTTTCTATGCAAGTTTATTGGTCTTCTCTTTTCATTTTACCTAAGAAAGTTATTAAGGAGATTGAAAGTCTTCTTAGATCCTTTCTTTGGTCTGGTACTGATCTTAGGAAGCATGGTGCGAAGATTGCTTGGGATAAAATTTGCACACCTAAAAAAGAGGGAGGCCTTTGGAATAAGGCTGCCATAGCAAAACATGTTTGGTTCCTTTTTTCAGGGGGGGAAAAGTCTATGTGGTGCCAATGGGTTAAATCTTACCTTATTAAGGGTAAGTGCTTCTGGAAAATCAAAATCCCTAATGACCCTTCTTGGGTCTGGAGGAAAATTCTCTCTTAGGCCTGTTATTTACCCTCTTATTAGACATAGGATTGGTAATGGTCAAAATACTTTTCTGTGGTATGATAACTGGCATCATTTAGGCCCTCTTTGGGATAGATATGGTGACAGAAATGGTGATTCCAAAGTGAGTCAAATAATTGTTGGGGGTCTTTGGAAGTGGCCTTTTCCAAGCTCTTGGGATCTTAGGGAACTAACCTCCCAAACCCCTAACAATTGTCTTCCTAATCCTTTAGTGGTGGACAAAACTGTCTGGTCTTTAAACACTGATGGTGTGTTCACAATTAAATCTATTTGGGAGTTGTGGAGAAATAAACAGGAT